ATCGCAAGCCTCGGTGTTGCTCCCGCGCCTCGCTCAACCAGTGAGCAGGAACCGGTCTATAAGTGGGATCCGAACCCTCGGACGGGAGCGCCGCCGCGCTTCCCAATTGGCGCACCATCCAGTGCGCCACCGGGGCCGGCCCAGGATTTTTAGGTATCTTAGATGCTTAGACGATTTGTACCAAACCCATACTTTCTTAAGGACTTGAAAGTGTGTGGCAGATAGTTTGGGAGATTTCTCAGTCAGTAGGAAAGACATTTTAGTCCATTTGAATTACTCCCTCTGATTCCTCATTACCTATCAGACTCAGAGTGTTCACCCTATGCCATAAGGAAGGCTAAGAGCATGTAGATGAGCTGTGGGACTGAATTATTCATTAGTCACATTAGGCACAAAAAAATATTTTTAGAAGCTACAAAAATCGTTTAATTTCTTTTGAAATCAGAAGAAAAAGTAAACACATAGATTGAAGAAAATGTTTTAGTATGTGATAATAATATATAATATATATATAATAATATATTTATTTGTCTTTATACCATGCTGTCATATACACACTCACACACGTGCACATATGCGGAAGAAGAGCCTATGAAAGTCACAGCGTGATGATGTGGTCCTGATTGTGCACCTCCCTTAACAAAGTTCCATCCTTCAAAGTCTGTAGCAGGACAGGAAGGTAACAAGTTTTAAGATGCTGGCAGTGTGGTTTCTTTCTCCTAGTGTCCAAATTCAGGTATCCACAATGAATCAACAGCTTTTATAGCTGTGCCAGCAGTGTCCAATGACTCATGCTGCTAGTTTGTCCATTCTTTGCATCAATGAGTGTCGTCATTTCTCTTTCCAGGTTGAGAGCAGAGTGACCGGCATGTGAAGGTGCTGACAGTAGCCGTGGGATTTACTTTCATGACCATTTCCCACCTGATGGCCCTCAAGATCTTAGGGCATAGCCTTGGTTAAGTAAATGCAGGTATGTCTCAGGACATAGGGTGCATCATTGCTTAAAAATGGAGGTAAAAAACACAAAAATCAGAAGGCTTATGAACAATTTTTTACAGATTTATATATAGAATAATCTTTTTATGAGTCAGAGACAAATAGTATCTTGTGATGGAAGCTAAAGAGAGAATGGAATTGAGG